TGCTTGCCGCGCGCGTCGAGGCACTCCGTCTCGCGGGTCAGCCCCAGCAGCGCCGCCCGCGCCCCCTTGCAGTGGGTGGCGGCCGCGCGCTTCCAGCGCCCCACCAATTGGCAGGGCCGGCGGCGCGGGTCAGCACGAGCATCGGGCACCCAAGGCACCAGCCCCACTCGCTCCACCTGGGGCATCTCAGCTGGGAACCGACGGGCGCCCCTTCGTTCGACGGTGGCCGCGAAGTCGTAGTGCGGCTCTCAACCCACGCCGAGAAGTCGCCGCCGTGGTGCCTGAGCCCCCCGCGCAGCTCCGACCTCATGGCGATGACGCCCCCGCGCCAATTAAACGCCAGCGCTCCCTCCAGATAGCCAATTCCCAGAGCAAGTGCTTGTCGGCCGTGGCGACGAGAAGGGCGTGACCCTCGGTGGGGGCGCCACTGCAGTAGGCCCGCTCCAGCATCGGGGCTGCGAGGTCAAGGTGCACGAAATGGACGAGGTCTCGAGCGATCCGCAGCTCGCCCAGCACAGCTTGAGGTGGTCGTCGCACCCCTCGGCCCCCGTCGCCAACGACGGTGTTGGAGGCGCCCAAGATGGAGAACGCGCACAGGCGCGCGCTGAAATGATGAACAAGGTGACCCAGCAGGCAGCGCACCTGGTCGGACGAGATCGCGCCACGGTAGCTCGCCTCCCTCAACCCATACCAAAGCCGCCAGCTCCGTCGGTGCGTGTGCCTGATCCACCTCGGCTCACCGTCGATCAGCAACCCGACGGCCTCGAAGTGCCGGGCGGCGCCGATCCGCTCGTGGACTCGGAACCCCACGCGGACCAGCTCATCAACCACCTCCGAACGCAGCCGCGCCACCGCGGCCTGGTCGCACCCGAAGATGTTGGCGTTGTCCATGTAAGGGACGCAGACCGCCGCGCCCGGCCGCAACGCTGGCGGCGGCGGATCCGGGCACGTGGATGGATGAGCCCCTGGGCGAAGCGCTGGAGGGCTGACCGCGGCCGGGCACACCAGCTGCGGGCCGTGGTCCAGCTCGTGCGCGACCGCGCACGGCGCTGGATTCGGAGCGCAGTGGCTGCCAGACAGGCCCCCCAGCAGCGAGCCCGCGAACCCAACGATCGCGGCGAAAGCTGACTGGATGGAGAGCATACAACTATGGCTCAACCTCTGAGCCAAAAACTGAAGTGGGGCGGCCGCGATGATGACAACGGTAACATGGCACACCATCAATAGATAAGGCACGCGCCGTCTAAGAAACGAGGGTGCTTTTAAGGATGAGGGGCAACGATAGGGGGGACTGGCACACGGGGGGATGCATCGACCTGGAATCGGCGATACACCGAGTGGTCGGCGAAAGGCCCCCGATAGTGAATCCGCACCTTCCTGTGCAATTTGGGGCTATCGGGCCCCTATTGGCGATCAAGGCGATTGGGGATCGATGCATCCCCCCCTATGCCTATCCCCCTCGCGATGCACCTTGTTTTTCGGCTCACGACTCGGCTCTCTGGGCATCCCCAGAAAACTCTCTGCAAGGCGCAGCCGCTGGAAGTCATCCCGAGCCTGCAGAGCCGCCGAGAACGGACGAGAACGCCCGAAAACCTCAAACCTCTGTCCTCGAACCTCGATCCGCGATTGAAGGTCGATGCGTCCCCCCCTGAATATATCCTCCCCCTATCGATCGTCGCCCCTGGAAGAAGTCTTCCCCCCTCTGCGCGTGGCCGGGACTGCATATCAGGCGTAAACGGGGGCATAGCTAAACGGGGGCTTAAACTTTTCCGTTTGCCCCCGTCTACTTTGCCCCTGTCTACGGCGCCCAGGGCCCCCTAAACGGGAGCATACTCACACATGGAGATCGGTGTTTCCCGTGCCCAGAGGCCTCCTAGATGCAGTCGAAATAGATGGGGTCAGGGGATCGCGCCGCGATCCATGAGCAATGCATGAGCGATGCATCCGCGATGCGCCGGCGATGTGTCCGCGATGTATCGGCGACGTCGACATGAAGCAAATCGGGCCCCACATTGAGCCGCATCTGCAATGCATCGGCGATGCGGCGCGGTCCTCCGACCCCGTCTCCTCCGACCCCATCTAGGATTAGGTCGGGCATGTCCCCCTACAGGCGGAGCTTCGACGACAAAGTAAGAATATTTAGAAAATACTCTAAAATACGCAACACATGCTCGAAAAATCGTCCCCAGACTATTTTGTTACTACGTTTGAATGTTCCTCCTGTGGAGGGACGTGCCCGACTGAAATCTGGGAGGCCCAGAGTGCCCCCGTTTGCTGTGCCCCCGTCTCCGGCGCCCTGAGCATCCCACTGGAGCCTGCGTTCTGCCAGGCCCTTTTCGTCCGGTCGCCGCCCGTTCTTTTGTATCTCTCTCGCGGACGCCACCCCCCCTCGGGCTGCCATGTGTTGGCGGCGAGCGGCGGGGGGGAAGTGAGAAGGAGAAGGCCTCCTCAGAAGGCGGCGGGGCTTTTCTGAGAAGCCCCGGCGCCTTCTGCAAAGTTTCTGGTATGTCTGCGGGGAAGGGCTTAGGAAGCTTCTCAGAAAGCTGGGGGAATTCCGAGCCTTCTGAGAAGGCCCGCCCCTTCTTTTGAGCAGGGACCGACCGTCCCAGCATTCCTGTAGGCCTACCACGAAATGTTCTTAGAACGCATGAAGTTCGAATAGCAAAAACAATGTTCTTAGAACACAAAGCATAGATCATAAAACAGATGTGATAAAACAAAACCAGAAACGTTCTAAGAACACTTCGTAAAAACCACAAAGGGTTCTTAGAACATTGTTTGGTAGGCCCATGGGCACGCCAGGACGCTTCGCCACTGCTTGATTCTTACTTCTCCCCGGCTCGCCGCCGAATGTGGCCGGCTCTCTTTTGCGAGCTACCCCAGCGCCGGGGGCCCCGCCTCGTGCGCGTGGGCGCCAGCACTTCTGGGCGCACGCGCGCATCCAGAGGTCCGTGGAGATGACATTTTCAATCCGGCGGTTGTCCTGGAATTCGGCCTCGGGGGCCAGCTATGTGAACGTTTTTTTATTCGGCCTTTCGACATTGGGCGGAAGGGGGGGGGTCTGGCTCCAGACCTCTGCTTAGCGCGACTGTTTGGAACCGTGCATCCATTATGGGGGAGACCCCACCTGCTCGAAACAGGCGCCGAAAAACATTCAAGATCTACTCCACGGGGCGGGGGAAGGGGGGGAGGGGGGCCCGCGCCGATCGGCGAAAGAATGAATCAAAAAACGCCCAGTATCGGGCCAGGGGGGCATCAAAATATCTGGGACAAAAGCCACCACGAGGGAAGGCGTCGGGACCGCTGGGGCCGCGGATTGAACAAATCATATCGGCGGATGTCTGGGAACGAGAACCGCACTCGACCCCCACACTGAGGCCAGGGTCATCACCCCCTCTCCGCGTTGCTTTGTTTCGGTCTTACTTCTGCGCGGCCATTCCTCGTAGACATCAAAGAACACCACGCCAGCCAAGCCAGTACCGACCCCCCATGCCATCAATTTCAAGCAGCACTTCGTTGTGCAGATGCGTTGGTCTAACAAGCGCGCTCTCTCTCTCTCTCTCTCTCTCTCTCTCTCTATATATATATCTCTATATATATAGACAATATGTGGATCTGTGTATATATATAGATATGAATATAGATGTGTTGACGCACCTGGTTAAAATTGAACAGTCCGGGTCATACGCATGCGCTCCCGAACGCGCGCATGCAGAACATTGTTTTTGCCACAAAGCCGTGAAACAATTCTGTGCGGTCCCCCTCGCTGAAATCTGAAGAGAGCCACAGGCGGTTCGCCACTCAATCACATGGGGCCGTGCGGGTTACACACACGCGCATGTAAAAAGCATCCAACTATCATCGCGCACCCACCCAGACCGCTTGACAACAATGCGGGGCAGAAGCGCGCATGTGCGCGCGTGCATGTCAAAATCCTTCAAACAAGGTTTTTGAATTTTTCCTCAGTCCAACAAAGAGACGCTCGAACACACCTGAAAAACCAATGGAGTGAAAATCGCAAGCCTGTCATAACATAACAAAACTTAAGCGCGCAAGTCCTCACCAACCTCACTACCGCCATAATCACCACCACCGCCGCCTTCATCATGGCCACCGTCACCATGATCACCATCAACGTCATCGCCATGGCCATCGTAGACGCAATCGTCCTTACTGCAGTCATCGACATCATCATGCGCATCGTCATCGCCATTGTCGTTGCCCTCGTTACCAGCACCATAAGCATCGTCATCATCATCACCACCATCATCAGCATCATCATCGTCATCAGCAACACCTGCATCATCATCACCATCATCATCAACATCATCATGAACATCATCATTATCATCGTCATCATCATTGTCATTATCTCCCGCCCGCCCGTGTCATGGATCTGCATAAGAAAGGTCCTCGAGACATTGCACTAGCTGGTTTTGCGAACAACTTGCGGTTGTGTAGGTGGGGTATTCGATCGATCGTTGTAGTTCGAGGCTACAACATTGCCAACATTAGCTGCACCTTAAAGCTTCCACCACATAAGTTGCCACACATAGCCTGGCCCTCCATCAATGATGCACCATAAAGAGCACACGCATAGAAAGCTTGCACCACACAGCTTGCACGGCATGGATCGCGCGACATGTATGTATTACATAGGTTGAACGCACGCATTGCACCACATAGATTGTACAACCGATGCTGCACCCCGTTGGCTGCACACATAGGCATATATATACATATATATATATACATATATATACATACGTCGATGTATATATTCACATATGCGTATAGATGTACTCTGTATGTGTATATGCTGTATCCTATGGCGCGCATGCAGGTTGCAATGCACCAAGCACTGGGGGCCATGATGAAGCGTATTCGAACAGTTTCCTTTTGCAAATTGACTGCGATCGCGGCCCAACTCGACCGACCCCGCGGGTGGCGTTCAGAAGCACTGACAACACACAAGCAAAGCGTGAAGGACAGCCGCTCTCCAGCGCGGCGTTTGCGCGCTCGAACAAGTCCATCGCCCCCGCCTGAAGGCCGATGTCCCTCCTCCTCCCCATCGTCATCGTTCTCTTCATCCTCCGTCAGCCCCCCTTCTTCTCCTCGTCACTCCTCTCTCCTCTTCCAAATTCTATATCTCCCAACCTTGTATTGTCCTCCTCCTCCCCCGCCGCACCCTCCATCTTTACTTTGTGTGCTATCTCTCTCTCTCTCTCTTTCTCTCTCCACCTCATCCACCTAGCATGTTCTTCTTCTGCGTCCCCCTACACCCCCGCTCCCTCTCATCATCGTTCCTCCTCCCCCCTTCTGTCCTCATCCGTATCCTCTCTCTGTTCCCCCTCGCGATGGCCGGCTGTAAAACCAGCCCAGACAAGCTGAGGGCACCATAATGTCCCCAAGCCATGGGAGGGAGACGCCTCCACCATTACAAGCGGCTAAACAGAATCCGAAACCTACGGCAATCCGCATCGACCACGCGATGGCGAGCTAAGAAGCTCATAGATGCGTCCTTTGGATTCGGTTTGCATCGGTTCTGTGGAAGCCAGACATTGCGAGGACGTGCCAAACCAATGGCATTCGGGTAGCTTCGCATGCCTCGCAATGCTCCCGCCCACACGCCGCCAAATGTAAGCCAGACCCGAACAGAAAAGAGCAACACCAGAGACACCAGCGATAACCGCGGAACCACAAGGAGCTGTTCGCCCAGGCGCCCCAGCCAGAATCATTAAGATCTTGCCGGCCCATGGCGCTTGGGCGCTTCTCGGACGATCTCCCGACGCCCGGCCCCGCGGCAACTTCGGAGGATTTGGGGGTTGTTTCGGGAAGTCTCCGCCCTCTCTTCGCAGGGGGGCGCGGGGTCATCGCGGCGCCACTCCGAAGAAGTTTGGTGCCACTTGGGGGCAATTTTGCGTAACTTTGTGGATGTGCGGATCTTTCTTGGTCGCTTCAGATGCCTTGGGGCCGCCCTCGCTCGCAGCGTTCGCTCGCAGCGTTCGCGTTCGCTGCACTATCGTTGGCGGCACTCTCGCTCGCAACGCTGTCGCTCGCAGCGTTCGCGTTTACCACTTTCGTTGGCAGCACACTCGGCCGCAGCGCTCTCGTTCGCAGCGCTCTCGTTCGCAGCGTTCTCGTTCGCAGCGCCTTCTTTCGCAGCAGCCTGGTTCTCGACGCTCTCGTTCGCAGCGCTCTCGTTCGCCGCAACCTCGCTCGCGACATCCTCGTTCATGGCACTTTCGATTGCAAAACTCTCGTTCGGGGCACTATCGTTTGCGGGGCCCTCGTTCCCAGCACATTCAATCGTAACGCATTCGTTCGCAACGCACATGTACAGCACGCCAGACCGCCCAAAACCTGGATGGACGGGAAACCGATTCCATTTCAAACCGGAACTCTCGCCTGAATAGCGCGCCTATGGGGCGATCGCCTTTCAAGGCACGCTTCCCAAAGCCAAAAAAAAGGGCACGGTCTTATGGCGGGTTAGCTTGGGGCGGGATATCGAGTGCGCATTGCAACAGCGTTGACGCACCGTCGTCGTCCTCCACATCCTCCTCCGACGCCCTTCTCCCCCGTCCTCCTCCGCCCCGTCCGGTCCCTCAATTACCCATCGGGGGTAATACTCGTTGCCTGGGGAGGGGGGGGGGGCGCCGGCGGGGAGGGAGTAGGGCCAAAGCGGCCCAACACTGCGTACAAGACTGATCGTGTAGCCCAATGTGGGATCCAAAACGGCCAGGGTGGCGTCGAAGACGTGGCAAGAGAAGGCTTCCAAAAGAGCCAGGGCGGCGTCATTTGGCCTCCGAAACAATCTTAGATGCCCACCCAAGACGGCCTAGACAGCGCAACATGGCCCCAACACCGCCCCATCTGGTTCCAATACGCTCCCATATATGGCCGCCCAGAAGCCCCAGGAGGGTCGAAAAGGGCTCCACAAGGCATCGTTATCGTCCTCCTCCAACTTCTTCCTCTTCCTCCTCTTCCTCTTCCTTCTCTTCCTCCTCTTTCTCCTCCTCCTCCTCCTCCTCCTTCTCCTCTTGCTGATCCTCCAGGTATTTGTCCTTGACCTCTACTGGGTATGTCCCTCCTTCCCTCACGCGTTCCCATGACGGATTCTGCCAAAGTCAAACGATTTCTGGCGAATCCGAACAATTCCGGACGAACAAATTTGACGGATTCTGACAAATCTTGACGGGTACAGAAAGAATCTGGACCGACGCATTTTGACGAATTCGTGCACCTGCTGGCAAATTATGACGGACTCTGTCACGTTCTGACGGATTCAGGCGAATTCTAAAAATTTCTGATGGACCCTCACAACTTCTGGCGGATTTGAACAAATTCTGACAGAATCTGGCCAGTTCCGCTAGACCGTCGGGCCCGGGGAGCACGCCCAATGTTTGTTTCTGCGCGCGCTCTACGCGGGCCCGGCAACGCGCCGGGGTCTTCGCGCGCGCAAGCAAACCACCGGCGAGGGCGCAGGGGGCTAGCAGAATGGATGGGGGGGGCCAGTAATCATGAGGAAGGCGAAAGGGGGGGATGGGGTGGCGGGGGCGGAGGAGGGGCGCGAAAGGGAGGAGGGAAATTCATAGGAGAAAGATCGGCGGGAGTGGGGCACCACGGGGGGCGGAAGAGGACGAGGTGGCGGGACGGCGTAGGAAGAGGGGACGGAGGAGGGCAGGGCGACATGGGCCAAGACGCGGGGCACGAAACGGGGGCGACATGGGGGCGCGGGGGGGGGGGAGATGAAAGGCGCGTATGAATAGGGGGAGGGAGGGAGGTCATGGAGCGAACGGGGGCCTCGCCCTGGCCGCCAGGCACGCAGGGGTAGTCGACGGGGGGACACATGCCGATGCCGCCGCTCGCCCTGCAGCTCCCTCGTCGCCGCGGCTGGACTCCCCAAGAGAAGGCCGTCGGTTGAAGGCATCGCTACATTGTCGCCAGCCGGGAACGAGAACGCCGCCGTGAGACCAGATCACCGCGCATTCGGCGCACCTCGCCCGCCATCCTTCGCACCCCCCCAACCCCCTCTAACCCCCCCCCTTTCCCCATCTCCTCCTTCTACGACGCGCCTGCCGAAGCGGAGGGGGGCAAGGAGGAGGGGGGTGGGCGGGGTTCTTCCGAGCTGAGGCAGCCGGTCACACAACCGTCTGAAGTATATCGTCAAAACCAAAATAAAACATGATATCGCGACCGTAATACCCGCAGCCCACACGACAAGAGGAGGCGACAGGCGCGGGCGGAACCCTGCCGCGACGTCGCCCTCGCCTGAACGGGGAACAGGACGACCTAAGCGCGCTCGCGCCACATCTGACGCCCAACCCCTTGCCCCCAACCATTCTAACCAATCAAATTATTTTACCAATAACCAAACCTGGTGTCACATGGGTCCTCAACATCTCGATGGCGCCTGCAACCCTTGCCCCGCGCATTGACCGAAAGGCATATGGACCCGATCCGACCACGGAGCGCGGAAGTAGGGCGGGAATGACTGAGCAGCCGCGCAGGTTGTCCGACTCCCCGCGTGGCCACTGGGCGATCAGTGGGACTCGCGTGCATGCCCCCGCGGCCCCCCTAGGATCGTTGGAGCACCCCGATGCAACTCGCTCCGCGGACCCGAACCAGACACCCACTGCTCTTGCTGCGCGAGCCATTCCAAGCGGAGCGCAACACGTCAGATGCCAGGAAGACATCGGCGGCGAAAACACCACCAGATGGGGACAGCTGGAAGCAACACCTTCCTTCTGGACAAACTCTCGCACCAAACAAAGGAGCGCATCGTGTTATTGACATGGTCGAGCGTTATCTCACCAAAATGATGTAAGGCGACCTTTTGGAGATACCGTTCGATCAACATGAAGCTGCGGGCCTCCACGAAGCTCAGCCCGAGCCCGACCTAGCCCTTCAAAAAGAAGCGCCTGCACCTGTCGCGCCAATGGAAGTGGACGCGCCAGGTCTAGAATGCAAACCTGCAGCGACCCCTTCTGCGAGGACCGAGCAGAGCCTAAAGTTGGCAGACGAGAGCATGGTCATCAGCACGGCATCAAGAAGCCCTGCTAGACCTCCAAACAAATCAAAGCGAGAAGAGTTACAATCAAACCAACAACCATCGGTCGCGACTTAGGCATCGATTGAGCTAGTTGTATACCACGGGTTGGATATACGCACGCCCAACGGAAAAGGAACGTCGCCAGGGGGATGAAGGCCGTTCTATACGAAGCCCAGACGGCTACACAGACGCCGGCGAAAGGCTCTCGTCAATCATGGGGCAACCGCCTCTTTCCACGATGGCATCAACATATACGGCAAACCACTTGTCGGCTGCAACCGAACTTCGGACAAGATGCGCCAAGGCCATTGGCAACCATTGGACGTGGCGCTGACTGCACACATAAATAGGCATCGATTCAACAGGGTGAAAGGCGAGCCGATGCTGACATCTGGGACCCTGTGGGAGATGAGGTGCATCTACTTGATGATTGTCACCCAGCCGAAGTGAGAGACCTGCGGTATATACCTCGCCATCTGGACGGAGAGAAAACGCCTCGACCCGAGATGGCCCCGCAAGCCTTTCCTTCGAAATTGCCTCCCCGACGGCCATGCGGCGGAGTCAGCCAACGGCCATGACGTCCTGAAGTAGCAGATGGGGTACTACGACTGGGCACGGGCCGCCCCTGCCCTGGTGTGGCGCCACATCGTGCGAGTCTCGATCGGCGCATGCAACCGAGACAATATGTCCTCAATCTCGGAAGTAACACGGCATAAAAAAACACAGACAGCAGGAACAAGTTGATTTGAGTGTTGCCCTCGCGTCGTCTCCTCACGTCCTTGTCAACAGCAGATGCAGGTGGTAGGGTAGCAGGTGGAACGAGCTGATCACTACGCATGCTGGTACAATTGGCCTTAAGATGTGGCTTACGCAAAGTAAGACTTCGGCTGCACATCGCGACGGGGTCTGACCCAGGTACGAACTTACATTACGCGTTCCTACCACACCATGCGCTTGGAAGAGACGTGCTTGCATCTGGTGGTGCACGAGATGTGGCAGCCGTACCAAAGCAACCGACATCGGAAGTGTTAAAGGGCTTTTCAATGTGTTGCTTCACACACATCGGAATCACACGCCACACGAATCAAACAGTCGCTAGGCTAACCGGAAACGCCAGCCAAGCCGACCTGCTGTAGAGACGCCCAAAACCCGACCCCAACAGCTGAAGGTCAGTTACTTCTTGTATTCTAAGTCTGGCGAGCCAATGCCACGCTGGACATCAGCGGGCCTCGGGCCCTTGTGGTGCCATCGCTCCCGCAAGCCATCTTCGACATCGTCGTAGAGGAATTATCCCGAAACCTCCCCCCTCTCCGACGAAGACGACGGTGACATCCTCGACGACGACGACGACATCGATAACGACGACGACGACAACGACCACGACGACAATGACCACGACGACGACCTCAACAACGCCAACGACGCCCTCGACAATGACGACAGTGACATCCTCGAAGACGACGACAACGACGACGACGACGACGACGACGACAACGACCACGACGACGACGACGTCGACGCCCTCAACGACGCCAGCGACGCCCTCGACAATGACGACGGCGATGTCCTCGACGACGACGGCCCCGACGACGCCCTGCATGGGCCTGTCGGCCGCAGCCGCCCTCCAATGCACCGCCCGAGAGCTCGCCGAACGCGGCGCCCAGCCGCAGGCAGCGTTCCCTTCGTCGCTGCCACCGCCGACGTCGTGGCCATCCCCGCCGCGCTTGTCCTCGTCACTGCCGCCGTCGTCCTCACTCTGGCTTCTCCCTCTCTCTCTCCTCCCCCCTCTGCCCCCCTCCCTTCGTCCTCCCCCTCGCTCTCCTTCTTCACTCGCTCCCTCCTCCTCGTTCCCTCCTCGCTCCCTTCCCCTCCTCGCTTCCCCATCCCTTTTCCCTAAATCTGACGTCTCCCTGCTGCACCCCCAGGCGTGTCCATAGGCCGGGCCAGGCGTTTCGCAGAAGACTTCTTCACAATGCATGTGCAACAATTTGAAGGGTGGGGGCAGGTTCCGTTTCAAAGTGTTGTTCTCTCGCATTGGCGCCGCGCACATTCGTCTTACGAACTTGCAGCCGCTTCAAGGATTCGCAAGGTTGAAGTCCAAGGACTGGCGTTTTGGTACGCTTTTGGATTGTCAGGGCACAACAATCACATTGATTCGCGGCGCTGACGTCCCAGGAATTGCGTTTTAGCACGATCTGGAATTCTCAAATTACTCTTGAAATTGGGGGGGCCCGACTCCCATTAAATATGTGATGTAAGGGCTGACCATAAGCTCTTGGCGAAATCGTTGATGCTCCTTGGGTTTACACTGGTCCTTCTCCTCCTCCTCCTCCTCCTCCTCCTCCTCCTCCTCCTCCTCCTCCGCTTCGCACCTCTCGGCGGCGAGCGAGGGGGGAAGTGGGAAGGAGGAGGCCTTTTCACAAGGCGGCGGGGCTCCTCAGAGGCCCTCCGGCCTTCCGAGAAGTGTCCTGCGTCTTCGGGGAAGGCTTAGACAACTTCTCAGAACGCCCGGGGGCTTCCGAGCCTTCTGAGGAAGGCCCTTCCGCTCGCACTTCCCCCCTGGGCTGGCCGCCGACCCCGGCGACATCGACGCTGCCTCCGTTGCCGTCGTCGTCGTCGTCGTCGTCGACGTTGCCGTCGTCACCGCCGCCGCCGCCGTCGTCGACGTCGTCGCCGCCCCCCCCCCTCGAGGAGGAGGAGGAGGAGGAGGAGGAGGAGGAGAGCAGGGAGGAATCGGAGGAGAAGAGAGAAGAGGACAACTGGCTGTTGACGTTATCGCTCAAGCTTCCCTCGCCACTCCCTTGGCTGCCCACTGTCTGTGTGCGTCCTCGAGAGAGTTAGGTCGAGTCCAAGGCCGCCAAGAGGGGCCAAACCTCCAGCGGGTGCTGACTGTGGTCGCATCATTTTCCGACACGCCTCCAAGCGGAGATGGGAGGGCGAGGAGGATAGAGAAGTGGCGAGAAGGTGGGCAGAAAGAGCGAGGGCGAGAGGGAGGGAGAGAGAAAGAGAGAAGGCACACACACACACATTTCTTGATGGTAGCAGCCTCGCGCGCGGCGACGAGGCGGAGCAAGCGCAAACACAGTGCGCGCGGCGGCCGGGCCCACAAAAGCACACACACACGCGCGCACACACACGCGCATAGAGGTGAGGCTGAAGAGGACTGGGTAGGAGGGTAGGATGGGGTTGGGGGACCTTTCCGGGTGGCCAGCGGGTTGGGCAACCCAAAAAATCAGCAGGCTGCGCACCTTTGTGATAAATCAACAAGGGGCGGTGAATCCAGTGGCCTTCGGCCCCACCCGCAACCGTGCGCGGGTTGTGGGCCAGAGGCCTCTTGGATGCCTGTTGGTTTGGTTATTGGTTATTCGTTTGCCTGTTGGGGTTATTGGTTTGCCGTCTTGGGGGCCTCTTGGACCGTCTTTGGGCCCTCTTTGGCTGTCTCCGATCCCTCTTGGGGGCCTCTCGGGTCGACTTGCGAGTCGACTTGGGCCAGTCTGGGGAGGAAGAGGCGAAAAAATGGAACGCGAAAAACATTCACACACCATGGAACGAGACGATTTGTGCCTCTTGCGGCCCGCTTTCGACGTCTTGGTGTCGTCTTGAAGCTGTCTTGGGTGTTCTTGAAGCCTCTCCAGCGTGTTGCGGCCTTTCTGGAGCCATCCTAGAGTGTATTGGGGGTTTTGGTGGCTACAGAGGGTTGATTTTGATGCTTCGAGGGCTTTGCCGGTGCGTTGACGAGCTCGCGTCACCCTTTTTTTTAACGGGATTCTGGAGGGGGAAAGGGGGAGGGGTAACAGCGACAGCGAATCATCTCGCACGCCCTTCACCCCTGGCAATCGGGGGCCCGCGGATCTTGGAGGCGAGACCCCTTCGCTTTTCAAGTCTTGGCCGCTATTGGGGGCCTCTTGGGCCCTCTTGCGGTCCTCTTGGGCCGCCTGAGGGCCTTCTTGGGCCGTCTTGAGGTGATATTTGGGGCCTCTGGGGTCGTCTCTGGGCGATCCTTTGGGCTTCTTGGGGCCGTGTTGGGACGTTGGAAGCCACACAATGCCAAGGGCATTCAACCCAAAGAACACCAGTCGTTTGGCCTTCTTGGCCCTATTGGGAATCCTCTTGGGGCTCTTTTTGGGCGTCTGGTGGGCCTCTTGAGGCCATCCGGGGCCGTCATGGAGCGCCCCTGAGCCGTCTTGAAGCGCTCCTGGACCGTCCCAGGAGGCATGTGGGGCGTCCCGGGATGCACGCGACACGCCCCAGGACTTCGGCCTCTGGGCTCCGTACAGAGGGCTGAAGACTGAGGGCTCCCAGGGGCGTGGGGACACTCCGCTCCGTGCCTTGAGGCACAGTTGCGGATAGTGTTGACCACCATCAAAAGAGCGAGCATAAGAAGCTGGCTCATACGTTGCGCGGGCAAGCGGAACCACGGCGATTGTCCAGGACATTAGATAATGTGCCAAGGCTTGACGATATATCTGTTCTTTGCCTGTGTAAGTCGAGAGACTGTTCTCGCTGACAGCTCACGTGGAGAGTTACCATGGCCAGCCCAGCAGCTGTGAGGTGATGTACCACTCCTAGGTTGTGCGCGTGCATCAAGGAGTAACTATTCCTTTTTGGAGCGAGTACTTGTGCAGAAAGAGGCGCGTTGAAGACGCGCACGCACAGCTCAAGAGAGGCGTCATGACATCGATGGACCTCCAGCCTGGAGTCACGTTCTACATCGGGGACGCTTTCCCTTCGACGAGCATTTGGGCGAGCAGCTGCTCTTCCATGGGGCGAGTGGGCTCGAGCCAATTTCGGAGCATGTGTTCAACGAGCGTTTAGGCAGCGGTCGCAATCTGTATGGCCGCGGCGAGGGAGTGCATTTTGGAGAGCAAATCCGCAAAGCTCTTCAACACACTCGCTGGTGCCCTGGCTACTGCATCATCGTCGCACGTGTCACCTTGGTGCAGCCATGTTATGCAGCTGGCCCTCTGCACATATCAGGATCGCGCCCTTGCGGGAGCCAGGCAACACCATGCTTGGAGTTCACTGTATACGATGGGAAGCAGGCTTAGCCTTAGGTCGGGCATGTCCCCCTACAGGCGGATTTTTGACGACAAATATCCAAACACTATTCAAAATATGTCAACACATAATAAAACAGTCGTCCCCCGACTATGTTTTAACACTATGTTTAATATCCCTCCTGTGGAAGGACACGCCCGACTTAAGCTTAGCCTGAGCTTGCAATCCCAGTTCCTCAGGCAGCTCCCAGGCGGGGTGGGCCTTGCGGTATCTTGTGTACTTGGGGGGGGGGGGCTGTGCCTGTATGGCTGGTGTTTTGAGGCCGCTTCGAGCTGGTCGTAGGCAAATTTGGAACCCCTCCCCCCTCCTCCTCCTCCTCCTCCTCCTCCTCCTCCTCCTCCTCCTCCTCCTCCTCCTCCTCCTCCCCCTCCTCCTCCCCCTCCCTCCTCCTCCCCCTCCTCTGGAGCAGTCTTGGGCCGTCGTGGGTGTGGTCACCCGAGGGGGTGCTTGGGCCATCTTGGGGCACAATCCCTAGAATTCCCCAGGATCTGCGAAACCCTCGTGAGGCCCGCCTTCCCCTCCTCCCCAGCATCCACCTCTCATTGGCCACATCGCCCCAAGACGGCCAAGATGGCCCACGATGGCCTCCAAGATGCCTCTAAGACGGGCAAGATGGCCCAAATAGAGGCGAAGACAGCCCCAAGATGGTGTCCAAGACGGTCCCAAGATGCCCCCAAGACCACCAAAGTGGTCAAGAGAGCCCAAGACAGCCCAAGAAGCACCCAAGAGGCCCCTAATACGGCCCAAGAGGACTCAAGAGGCCTCCAGGGAGACCCGAAGATGGCCCAAATCGCTAGGGTTTTGAAGTATTGTGGCGTTTACTTCAGAACGGCACGGCTCAAGACCGCCCAAGAGGTCTTCAATATTGCCCCAAGATCGCCCAAGAGGCC